AAAATCAATTTTATTTGCCTTTCTCCTGCGATTTTCGTCGTTTCCTTTTAGTTTGTTTTGCTTTCTGAGGAGAAAGAGGGAGGGCGGGTCAAAGCCACATGTTTTTGGTCACTTGGTTAAGGCCTGTCCAGCAAGGCGGAGACGAACAGTTGTTGCTGCGGCCTTCGTCTCGTCCCGTCCTCTGGTTTTCCGCCGGCCAGCGGGGCGTATGCGTGATCCTGGGCGGGGTCTTTTGTCCTTTGTCGTCCTGTTCTCGCCGTCGTTGCCTGTTTATTTGCATTGTTCGCCGGACGTTCGTTGGCTCGCTGGTTGGTTGTCCTTGTGCTGCTGCTGGTGTGATGGCAATGTTGGCGTGTGGCACTTGTGCACTTTGTCACTTTTGTTTTAACGCTTACGCTTTATTGAGTTAATCGCTTTATGTCCGGCATTTTCCCTCCGCTGTTTGCCTTTCTGCACTTTTGCCAGCTCAGCACTTTTAATTAATCCACAGCAGCCCGAGATAGTTGCTGCTCTCGCTTTTCCCGCTTTTCCAGCTTTTTCCTGTACCTGCATGGAGCAGCATTGCTTTTCCAGCTGGTTTTAATCGCTACTCTTTTCCCTTGTTGTTTGTCCCCCTCTCGCTTTTTGGCAAATAAAGTTTAATGTGTTTTTATTGATTACATCAGTGCGTGTACGCCCCTTCCCCCTTTTCCACGCCTCTGTGGTCATTATATAAATATCACCCTCTATATAAACCTCTTTTTCCCTTTTGGAAAAGCCAGCTGGAATTTTGATTGAGCATGTTTGTTGATTTATGTGCGCCAGTTGTGGAATTTATGTGCGGTCATTGTGTGAAATCCAGCAGAAAAAACAATAAAAGCAGGCGAAAGGAACGAAATTAAATAAAACTTAAAATCGCACAAATAGTATGATAAGCATTTCATTTAAAATGCCCAAAAAGAAATGTTAATTTTACATTAAATACGGGGCGCGCCAAATAAAATGCTTTCATAAATAATATTCCCAGCCTCGGCGGTTCATGAGTATGCAACAGATTTTTTTATTACAGATTTAAGTGCCTGAATGCTCAATTTCAGGAGTTAATTGATAAGTATTGTGTTAAAATGAGCAGACATTTTGGTGGAGCTTGTATTTCAGATTACAGATTTAAAGGGGATTGCATTGCATATTGACTGTGGAAATAATTTATAAGGTTTAAATTTCCAATTAGTATTTTTAGGCGGTGTGTTAAATATTTTTTGATTTTTGTTAATATTATATTATTTATATTTTTTAACTTAAATTCATTTTAAATATACGTATATACTTTTTAACTTGCTTAAAAATTAAATGATACATTTTTGGCAACTGAACAACTAAAATTTGTCAAAACAATCAACCATTTAAGCCCAACTCTATTTATATTCAAATGCAAACTGCGAAGTTTAAGCTACTATCAATTCAATTCTTCCCTTTTCCTATTTTATCCTTTTTTCTGCGGCTTGAACAAATTCGCTTTTCTATTGGGAAATTTCATAACTCTCGTTTGCAGAGAGCTTTGCATGCGAAACGAAACGAAAGTTGATGATATATTATGTTGCATTTAGTTGCGACACATTTGCATAACACTCATACGACCCGTGAGCCAGGAGTTGAGGAATGGATGGCTGTGGAATATATGTAAATAATATTTCAACAATAATTGCTTTTGAAGCTAAAGTGCCCAGGAGAAGCGTCCGTCCGTCCGTCCAACTGTCTTGCGCCACCCCCACAAATTCAATTTTCTCATGAGAGAGGAGAGTCCTGCTGCCAACGCAAGTCGACTGACTGCTCCTGGCAGCTAAAAATAATTAAAATTTAAAACGGAATAAAATGCACAGAAGAATAACATTTACATTTATGCGTTTCTGTCTTCTGCTTTTCTTGCGCTCAACGGGAATACAATTCAAATTCAACAAGTTGAGGAGGGAAAACCAACGACGGAAGGAAGGAAAGCGGCAAAACGCTCTCAAGTGTGCAGATCTCTCAAAGGAGAAGACTGAACTGAATATACATGGACTAGTTTAAAATTAAACTAATGTTTATAGTTATTGCAAAACTATCCTCTATCCTCTAGCTGCCCAAGAGAGCGGAACCAAGGGAGACGTTTCGTGTCCTCAACGAAACGGAAATGTAACTACTGAACATTGAATAGCAATGAAGAAAACTCTCCTGCTGATGTCTTTCATTGGATTTTCCTCCTTATTTCCATCCTTTAGTTATGAGACAATGCTGGCAGGACATCGAAGGACATCTCTTCTGGCCAAGAGGCTCTGCCGCAGTTGATGATTATAATCTTGTGTATTCGCAGCCAAATGCATTTCCACTCAATAACTACCGACTAGAAATAAAGGCCCGAAGACAATTGGAATTGGATTTTGCATTATAATGGAGGAGGATATTCCTTGATAAAAGAGAAAATAAATTAGATATAATACTGCATACACAGGAAAAAAATGGGCAAAAGATCAGAGATATGTGCTGGTCGATTTCATATCATTTTGAAATTTATAAAGATTAGTTTATCTCATTATTTGTTAAAAAATTCTAAATTTGGTATTTTTTATGATATTCTAAACTATTAAGATGATATGTTTGAATCATAAATTTGACATAAATCATATCGGATTATTATTGATATGAAATAATATAATTCAATTCTCTGTAGAAAAGAATTCCTTATTTTCCAACTTTCTAGGCTCTTCTCAAGGTTAATAACTAGCAATCAAGACACCAAAACTAATTATAATTAAAGCAAATTTCAGTTTTGTTTTGCTTGAATATTTTTTCCCCCAAACTTTTTATCCAAACATCAGAACAATTTGGGCAACAACACAGAAAGCGGCGCCTTGGGGCTAACGACACTCAAATCAAAAGCGATAATCTATGGCCCCCCCGGCAAGAAAACCTTTCATAAAATACAGAAACAGGGGGCGAAAAAAAGAGGAGAACGAGAACGAAATAAGTATCCGCACTTTATATTTATGAGCAACATTCGCATGCAGCTTTAATGGCCATCGAACTGGAGAACTGGAACTGGACAACAGGAGACCAGGACTACGACGATGACGGTGACGCCCACAAAAAATACATTTCCTTTTTGGATTATTTAACTGCCATTGACGACGTTGAATGAATGAATGAATGGCTGGCTGACAGGAGGAAGGAGTCGAAGAAAAGAGCCGAGCCAAGCAAATAGAAATAAAAGTAGGAGGCATGAAGAGTGAGAGCCCGCAGGCCACGAGAAAAACCGAGGAAAAATGCAAGAATTTTCCCCCGTCCTCACTGAAGGAGGGAAAACTACCTGAGGGGGTGGTGACTGGTTATTTATTTGCTCGTTTATTTTCAGCACTTTTTCGGCGCATTTATTAGAAGTTGTTTCTGCCTTCGGGCCACAAAAAAAAAAAAATAAAAGAAAAGGGGTGGCAGAAAAATAAAAGAAAAATCGGGAAAACTCCTTCAAAAAGCTACACGAATTTTCCCTTAACAGCTTTGCCTTCTTCGAATTGAAAATCATTTGTAAATCAAATTGAAAACTCTGCCAAAGAGATAGCGGCGGCTATGCACATAACAAGCTGTGACGACGACGGGGTTGGTTGGTTCGTTGGTTGGTAAATTTGTCAGAAACAGCCAGCGAACATCATTCGTCATGATGATGGAGCCCCCAATGCCAATTCAATCGTTCAGAGGGGCATGGATTATATTTGCACAGCACTGGTGAACTTCTGAGCCCCCAGGAGAAGAGGAAAGTGGGGTGGAAAATGAGTCGGAGCCAGATAATGCTGATTAAGTCGATGGCACACAGGCGGCGGCAGTTTCGACTTGTCAACTCTTATCCACGAAATTCTTAATTGTTCGTTATTAATGATGCTGCTGATACTGCGGGCTGTTCTCTGACTTTCAAATTGAAAATGACTGAATGAGGGGGAGCGAGCGGCGGAAGGCTCGACTTTGATGAATGTCCGAGTGTGAAAAACCACAACGGGGCTAATTGATTGCCCAAAGACTTGACTGGGATTTCAGTTTCTATTTTTCCCCAAACATAGGACACAAATCAAAACGAGGGCCAGACAAATTAATGCTAGTTGAGGGCATGAGTATAGAAGGGAGAGGGACACTTTAGCTGTAAAAAGAAGAATGACTAGAAGAGACCCCTTAGCTAAGGCGAGTGAGAAGCGCGGAGAAGGGCGCTTAAGCTAGAGTGACTGAGAATCACAGAAAAAAGGTTCTACGGTTCCTCAGCTAGGACTAAATATATTTTAACTCAGCAAATTATAACGCCCAGCGCAAAAGACTTGAATGGCAAAACAGTGAGTGCCATAAATAAATTGCTGCTTCAGCAATTTTCAATAAATGACAGACCTCTTTCACTTCTTCTTATTTCTCCCCCATCTGACTATCTGTTTGTCAAACTGAGGAACTACACTTGACAATCAATAAGTTGAAAGGAAATGAAAGCGCAGCAGTCGGAGCAGCAGCGAGTTAATAGAGGTAGTTCTTGGAAGTGTAAAAACACTTGAGTTCCATTTGCCTCCTGATGGACGCACATAAATTTTCGATTATGCGCACCATTAGACACGAATTGAAGAATTCATCAAAGTGGATTTTTCGGCCTGCTTTATGGTGATGGAAATTTTGCTGGTCCTGCAAGACTTTCGATTTGATAATGGGTTTCAGTGAAATTAGGTGTTTTAGGTGTGAGGATTGGTTTACAACTCAGAAGGGATTGTAAATTAAATTAAATATTTACGAGAAACTCAAAGTGGCATTGAATCCATGTTGTTTTATCCCGTGTAAAGGTGTCTTAAGGAGTATTTTCAGATAAAAATACCGAAATTGGAATCTCCTAAGAATGTGATTTCTAGTCACTGGTTAGAAATTATATATTTCCGATTTCATGAATTAATATTTATATTTTTAAATTATTTGTTAGACATTAATATTTATATTTATGATTTTATTATATTCTATCCACTACTCACCGTGGTTGTGGCCGGTGTGGTGGCCGTGTGCGGCGTATAGGCGGCATATGCCGGCTGGGGCAGCGGCGCCGTGTAACGGTAGGCCTGCTGGGCAACAGCAGCGGCGGCTGCGGCAGCGGCCGGGGCATAACCCTGCGGGGTCCAGCTGGCGGCGCCGCGATACGGAGCACCGGCGGCCAGGGCGGCGCCAGCGGCAGCGGCTGCGGGACTTGTCATGGCCGGTGGCCGCTGGGGGAGGGCGCCCTTGAGTGCGACGGCTGAGGCGGTTAGCGGGGCGCCGGGGAAGGCGCTGCGCGGTGTTGGAGGTGCGGCGGCGGCGCTAGACGAGCTCCCCTGGAAAAAAAAACAGAAAAAATAGGTCATTAATTAGTTTATTTAATAATAATATTAAAGAAATACATAAAACTTATTACTTATCGATAAAATCGATAGGAAATCGAAGAATAATATCTTGTTAAAATGAATAGTTTGATGCCATTTTAAGATACACAAAGGGGACTTGAATCATCCCATTAAATTATATATAAATTAAAAATATTCTTTTCTGTAATTTAATAGTTTAAATTATCATAGCGATTATCGATTTTTTCAATAAATGTTTCATCCCTATAAAAAGCATTCAGGTGGGCGATCTGGAACGGACATTCGTAGGGTTTTCCACTGTGCGGTTTTAGTTTCGGCATAAATAATCTGGTTTGCACGGGGTTTTTGTTCTGGCGTAAATAAAAACCGCAGAGCGGCAGCTGCGGCCCGACTGTAAAGCTTTTGTTTACCGCTAGAAAAACCGCCATGACATCCGTTCTAATGCACACATGGTAGGTAGGCAGTGCATATGAATCATGGGCAGAGGGAGATTTTGTTTTATTGAGTGCCAGTTGCGCATTCATTGCAAAACGATAATAAAAAAATAGCGAGTGGGAAAAAATAATAGTCTAGGTTTATACTCTGTAATATTTAAATGTAATTCGGAGAATTTAAATACTTATGTAGTTTATATATAGTTAATGCAAGCTATTAAAATCTATAAGAATAAATTTTATATTAAAACATAACTATTTTAAACAAAATATTAAAAATTAAATATATATATTCTTAAGGTATATTAAGAAAAGTTTAAGAACTTTTAAAGATAAAATATATCAACTGCAAATCAATTATCTTGTTTCCTGTAGGGATACTCCAAGTCCCTCAATCGAACCCCCAAAGGTTCTCTTTTAAAGAAATCACGGGGTATCTATATAGAAAGATGCCTGCTATAAATAATTCCAGGCCAACTCCCAGTTCTGTGGAATGTGTGTGTGGAATGGAGCACATGAGGGGGTGGTGGGCGGTGGGCGTGGACAGATGCAACAGTCGCCGGGTGTCCTTGCTGCCGGGTCGCTTCCTGTGCGAGTGTGTGCTCCAGTTTTGCATTGCAAATGCATTTGTTGCTTTGGGCCATTTTCGTATTCTTTTTTGCCCACTCACTCCCACTCACCAGTTCTTTAGGGTCACTTGGCATAAACACAAATAAAAGCTCGCCGCCTCTGTGGTTCGTTCACATATAAAAATTTATATTCAACTGAAATATACAAGGTGAAAAATGTGATGTTTTTCGGGGAATCTCTCACTGACGTTTCGCCGAATCTTTCGTGGCATAAACAAAACCTAAAAAAAAGGCCAAAACAAAAACGCAACGAAACCGGAAACAAACGAGCTCCGCCATTTTTATTTTCGACCTGATTGAGGTAGGAAGGAACTCGTGTGTGTGCATGTGTGTATGTCCTGGTTTCTAAAAAGGATTCAGCTGGAGCTGGAGCCTTGCGTGCTGTCGCTGATTTTCCAATTGCAAAATATGGCAAATATTTGATTTTCAGTTTGTTTTTCACCCTATTTTTCCAGATTTTTCTCTCACTCAGTCAATTTTTTCGTTTTTCTCCTCTTTTTTTTTTTGAGGCGGCTTCACGTTTTCAGTTAATTTTCGTGGGCACGCAATTCGAATGCGGTTTGCGGGGAGACTGAAGGCTGAGCTGTGGGTGCCTGTAATTTGGCAGTTAAATGGCAGAGAACGAGTAATAATGGTTTGCCATTCGCATTGGAGTGGAGGACGAGTACGAGAGGACGTGTGTGTTTGCCAAGTGGAAAGTGTGGGGTAAAAGCGAAATATGCATTCGAAAATCCAGAGAGGCGTGACAGCATTTTGACATAAACTTCAGCCCAAAGAATTGGATTTTTCAACCAAATGTACGTGCAAATAATGCCTTCATTTTGGTTTGTATATTTAAGCTTTTTTTATGCTTTCAATACTTTAATGGAAAAGTGTCTTTATTTATTTAATAAATAAATATTTTTCTAGTCTAAAAGATTTCTAAATATTTATTGGAAATAAATTTATAACGACTCTTATAAATCGAATTTATTAGATTAAATATTATCTTTCTACAATAAAATTAAAGGTCAGCCATTGAAAACAGCAATTTATTATTTTAATAGAGGTTTAATGAAAATCGTTAAATAGTCATATAAAATTTAAAAAGCTTTTCTTGAATCCTATTTTTTGTTGGCAATATTGTCCATATAATTGGCTGAAAAGTAGGCTTCAAAATCCTGCACAAATTGCCAACACATTGACACCATAGATTTTCCTTAAAAGTTGACTCCAAATCCATTACCACCCATCACATTCCCCATTTATTGCGATTTTCCCCCGAAGCACATGACAGGCAGAAACACCACCATTCCGTACGTAGTACCACCCATCAATTGCCTTCGGTGGGTCATAAAATGGAATAGCCAAACATTTTAAGCGCACAAATGCTATAAATTTAAGCCGCTAAATTAGACACGTTTGGCACATTGAGCCCCAGCCCCACACACACAGAGAAGTACACCGCACACCTTAGAAAATTACAACCCCAACCCCCAACAACGGCCACCGAAAATAATCATAAAGGTAATTATTTTATCGTTCGTTCAAATTCGCTTAATTTTAACGTATGGCGGCTGGAAAAATTTCTCTACACAGGTACTCGGTATTATACGTATAAATATATATAAACGGAAAGCTAATGGAAAATATGAAGCCTAGGAAGCCTGGGAAGCCTGGCCTACATCCTATGCTACAGCCTTAATGGGCAGCTGTGGCTGTTTTTGGCGAGAAAAAGCAAGGAAAAATGGAGGGAGAGAATAGGAACGAGGACGTGATTAATTACCAAATTGGGAGCCATTATCGCGTGCACTTCGAGGGTGTTTGTAAAGTTTTTCCGACTCACGCACACACACAGATGCAGAGGGAAAAAATTTTAGAACTAATATTATACCAAATTCTTTTTTATTTATATTTTAGACTATATATATTTAAATATATAAACTTTATTTTAAGTTAATAATATTAGATTATATTCAAAAGTACTATAATATGGATATTAAAATGTATCGATAAGTTTTTTGATACAACCCTAAATCAATATAAAAATCCCCATTATTTTAAGTGCACAAAAAGCACGTAATTTGGTCGTGTCTCAAACATTTCTGTTGACGCTTTTGTTCTATATTCTATTACCCCGAAAACTGCTCTTCTCTGTTATATTGGTGTTCGCTTAATTTTTATGCAAAAAACGTTTCGTTTTGGTCCTTTCAACCGTTATCCAGGCGCTAGTCCTTCCTGGGGGCAAAATCAAGCGCAAAATATTAATGATAATAATTTATTACCAACTGACAGGTGGAGAGACAGGAGGCACGCAGATTGGGTGGGGGTCTTTCGGGGTTTTCGGGTTTTGAGTGGAGTTGCTATGTATTTATGGGACGGGTATCCTCTGATAAACGCTTTGTGATTAGCGGTCGTTGTTGCTGGTGGTGTGACTGGCTTCGTGGCTACGACGACGAGGAGAGCCTTTGTCATTTTTATTGTCATTTTTCGAAAATTTATGCGCAAATTCGATTTTGCTGCGGGCGGATGGAAATACGTGAGTGGGTATAATATAGGTAGGGAGAGAAAAGGGGAGTAGAGTTCTGAATTCCTAGAATACTTTAAGAAGGATGGAAAATTTAAATAAGATTAAATGTATATATTTTAATCAATTTGAGGTAATTAAAAAGGATTTTTGTAGCAAAGTTACATTCAAGCCTATCAATTATTTTAAATTGTTTGGATAACTTTTTTTCCCAAGGAAATATTTTTTAAATAATTTTTAGAAATAGATTTAAGTTAAATTTATAAAGACAACAAAAAATTTAATCATTTTCGATTAGTAAATAAAAAATAAATATATAAACAGTTTAAAAACATTTCAACCCCTAAACTTTAATACCCATTCATAAAATTTTCAAATTACTTAATGCAAAAACTAGTTGAATGGCGTATAAAAAACAAAAAAAGCAAATGAAAAACTGCAAACAAAACTGGGACTCTGCTCACGACTCACTTGCCATGATGCAAAGGAACCAAAAAAAAATCAGACGAAGGTGGAAAAGCATGAAACAAAAAATATTTGCATTTTCCTCAAGAAATGTTTGCACACACTCATAGACAGACGCACACACACACATAGCCAAACATACACTCAGAAAATGAATCGCCCTGAATTTTAGAAAATCGCCTATGGATTTGCTTCACTGGCGATTTTTTTCTTTAAAATAAAAAAATTTTCTACTGGTAAAGAAAATTTTCTTCCAATTAATCAAAATTCATTAAATTCAAGAAATATTCCAGAAATATAGAAAAAAATCGCCAGTAAAGCAAATCCATAGGCGATTTTCTAAAATTTTTTTTTGAGTGTAGCCTGTCTCTTTGTATAATTCATATTTTCCAACCACTTATTGTTTAAACTAAATAAAGCAAAAACTTTTTCCATAATTAAAACCGACGGCAGTGGCGTAGGCAGCAACAACAACAATAATGTCTCTCGGGGGATGGGAAATGGGGACTTTTCAAGGGGGGTTGTAGGGTGGTGGCTAGGCGCAAGAGCGGAAAACAAAAGGATTTTCCTTCATTTTGTTGCTGCCTTTCAGGCGCAAAATTTTCGCTTATTTTTTCCGGACTTTTGCCTATTTTAATTCTATGCGGTAAATTAAATTTTCGTATTGTCCCATGTCCACCCACCCACTCACTCTCTCGTTCACCCTCTTATTTTCCCATTTTCCGCATAAAAATTCACGAGTGAAAGCGCTTAAGGGATGAGGTGGCGCGGCGATGGGCGGAATATATAGACAAGGATACCGACGACTCGAGGGCTAAAAATAGGCGGCAGAGGCTGAAGAAGAAAAGCTGCAGCTAAAAATGAAAATGAGGCGCATTGCAAAAAAGCGGCTTTCATGTGTATGAGTGCATATGATATGCAACTTTTCCTGCCTAT